TTGAGTTCAATTGGGGGTTCAATTTGGAGGATTTTGGAATTTTGGTCACTTTGGGTCTATTGGGTTAGACTTGGGTCTAGATTGGGCTAGGCTTGAGCTAAGTCCAAATTGATTATTGAAAATGGACAATAGGAATATCATGAAGAGTTTTCAACATGAATTGGGTGCCAATTTTGGGGCTAAGGTAATCAATTTGGTGAAATTTGTAGACACAACCAATTTGGGGCAAATTTGAGGATTTTGGACCTTAAGTTGAAATTAGGCAAAATTGAGGTTTCACCAAGGCCAATTTAAGGTCAATTTGGATGTGCAGGAATGTTATTAAGAGTTTACAACACGGCTATGGAGTTCAATTTGATGGGATTAAGTCATAGGGCCAAAATTGGGGGTTTGACTTAGATTAAAATTAGGCTCAAAGTATGGGCCAATTAAGCTTGGATTTGATTTAAATTGTTCATATAAAAGTTTAATTTGAATTTAGGAATGAAATTTGGGGAAATTGGGACGGACCAAATTGATGGACATTTGAGGTAAATTTGGGGAAATTAGACCTTTAAAGGCAATTTGGGGATTTTAGTCAAAATGGTCAAATTGGTCAAATCGGGTCATGCGGTAGTTGAGAAAAATTAAATTGGGAATATTTGGAAGGTTTTCGAAATTTTTAGGATTTTTTAAAGTTTTTAAAAATTTGGGCCAACGAGGGGCATTTTGGTAAATTTGGCAATTTTTGGTGATTTGGGTAATTTGGATGTTTTCAATAGTTTTGAAATGATTTTTTAACAATTCTGAGTATTTTGGGTAAATTTAGGAATTTTTGTCAAATTTAGGGTTTCAAGGGTACTTAGGTAATTTTGGGGAGTTTAAGGACAAAAGGTCAGGCTTAGTATTTTGCGGCCAAGTTTGGTATTTTTTGTAGAATTTGGGTGTCAACCACCATAAATGAGTTATGGACCAATGGAAAATCTCATTTGGGTCCTCTATGTACTAGTCTTAGCTAAACCTTAACCTAGGGCTAGTAGGTTTAAGGGACTATCTACATGAGTCTCCCAAAAGATCAAGGGACCAAAACTAGGAAATTCTTGGGTTTAGGGTTGTGAGTGATTGTGGGTGAAGGTGAGTGCAAGTGAGTGCCTTAGCTCTAGACAAACAATTGGGGTCAACCCTAAAGTGAAACAATCCTATGGGAACTCTTCTTGAGCTCCCTCATAATGACCTCACCTACTAAGTGCTAAAGGTCAGGACCAATATGCAGAGCTTCAAGTTGAGCAAGGAGGAGTTTAAAATTTCTAATGATGAGGGTTCCTTTTCTAGTTTTCTAAGAATAATCAATAGGAAAGTTCTATGGCTAGACCTTAGGCTACTAAAGAGGAAAATCAAAACCTCAACCAAAAGTGAGGTCAACAAAATGACAACATGTTTGCATTCACAGCTCAATCCGTTACTAAGGAAAGAAAACCATCTCAAATTATTCATTGGATCAAGCCTTGCAAACCCTTTGTCATGGTGAATACGAATGGGAGTTTTAAATATGATGTTGCAAACGCTGGGGGAATTTTCAGATACTATAATTGGAGATGTGTGGTCACATTTTTTATTCCATGTTATCTTATAGCTGCCCAGCTCTCTAAACTTGTTGTTGTCCATTACTGCCTCTTATTTACTAAAAGATTGGAGTTTTTGTCTTGGTTATTGAACTAGCTAGACTACTTTTCAAGTTTGTGTGGTGAACATCAACTAACCTTGGTTCAATGTCATTTTATGGAAGAATATTATGTACTTGCTACTTTTTTTCTACATTAGATGGCTACACACAGTTATCACTTCTGTTAATTCTTCCATTATTATTGAGCTTAAGAATTTGATGCATGGAGATATTATAGGTTTTCCTAATATTAGAGTCTTCTCTCGAGCTCCCCTATTATTTGTAATTGTTTGATGGATCATAATAAATCCTCTTCTTTTAGTGTGCGTGTGGTGCATGTGTATGTCTATATATATATATATATATACATTCAGCTGAAAAAGTCCCATCTTCAATTATGATTTCTCTTCTCTCCTCTGGCTTGCAGCCGAAGAAAGGAATAAAAAACGAGCCGCACAAGCTTAAATCCAGAAAAAAATAATGGGAGAGAAGAAAGCTGCCATGGAACGAGCAGAGGATCGGATCAGTTTCTTGCCTGATTCTGTTCTTCAGAGCATCCTCGCCATGTTGCCTCTGAAATCAGCAATCAGGACCGATGTTCTTTCTAAAAAATGGCGAAATCTATGGAAATACTCTCTCTCCACAGCCACTGCTCTGTAGTTTACTGAGGACTTCGCGAACAATCAATCTGCAAAAGACTTTGTGGAAACTGTCAATCGATATCTATCACAGAATGACAGTAAGAAGCTGGAGAGGTTCCATATTTTCTTCTGCCCGTTTAATTTCTTTGCCTCTGAAATAGTGAGCTGGATAAGCTTTGCAACAGGTAAAGGAGTCAGGTATCTTGATATAGACTTATCCCAAGGATTTACAAACCCAGCAGATGGTGAATTCACTGATGGTAGAAGCCTCTTCGAGCTACCTTCTTCTCTGTTTAATTGTGATTCGTTGACCGAATTGCGCGTAAGTCGCTGTTTTTTCTTCACTCCTTTGAATCTGAGCAATTTTGGTGGCCTGCAATCTCTGTCAATCAGTCATTCCAACATCAATGAAGAGATGCTTCAAAGTATTCTGACTGAATGCTCTCTGCTCGAGAGCTTGAGCCTAAGGAACTGCCAGCAACTTGATGTTATTAGCGTTACGGTTCCAGATCTCAAACTTAAGCGGTTGACCATTGGGGATTGTTGGTCAGCCGAGCTGCTGGAGATTCATGCTCCAAAGCTCCAATCTTTTCACTTTTTTGGAAGGTTATGCATTGAAACTATCCTCTCGAACCTCTTTTCATTGGAAGACGCAGCAATCTATTCAATCGATAGAAATTCCGAGCCTGATTACATGTATTTACTATCTAGTTTTTCTCATGTTCAGACACTCACCTTATTCACAGCAGCTCTGGTGGTATTAACTCTTGGCAGAAACTCCTGGTTCTGTTAATTATGAACTTTTAGTTCTAAAATCTAAACTTAAACTTTGGTATTGTGTCAGCATCTGAATTTAAGTGAGGAAGACTACGTTGACTTTCAAATCGAGCTGCAGAACCTCCATGAATTACAGTTTGTCATGACCTCAATGACTGACGAGGATCTCACTTGCTTCTGCTTTTATAGCTGTTTATCCCCATTCCTTGAAAAGCTTTTCATTCTAGTAAGATCCTTTCCTGGTTAGTTAACTTTTGTTATCCTGATTAGTTGAATTCTGTTGGCTCTAATGACTGATCAAGTTCTTCTGCAAGCAGCTACCAACACACATTGATGATCCAAATGAGGAAAAGTACTGGGTGCGCGTGCTGAATCCGCTGAGTCCTGATGATATCTCCTTCGATCATCTGAAAATGATCAAAGTGACAAATTTCAAAGGAAGCAGAAATGAAATGAGATTGGTGAGCTTTCTTCTACAGAAAGCTGCAATTTTGGAAACTATGGTATTAGTTCTTCCCGCTGTTAAGGAGGGGAATGGTAAAGAGAGACTGGTTTTGAGGATTTTGAGAGGACAAGTTCTGCTACTTGGAAAAGCATCTCCATGCGCTCAGATTATTCTCCATGAATTTGGGGAAGATGATGGCTTGAATCCAACGCATGTGGAGGTTTATAATGATGATAGCTGGTTGCCGGTTATACCTTGCATGGTTACTGGATAGATGTTCATCAAAAAGTGTGATTTTTAATCGAAATGTTACAAATTGGACTTTTTTTCTTTTTAATGTGGTTTTTCACGTGGAATTAATACTTTGCTTGTTTGTAAACCCTAGCAATGGATGTCCTATAAGGAATATGGCTCACATGTCGCCCCTAATGGATTCAAAGCTTAGTCTCACCGAAGTTATTTGCTCGAGCCTCTTTATGCCTTATTTTCCCTCTAATATTCCTCTAGAAACTATTTGAACGTGCTGACAAAGTAATGTCACATGCGAATAAAATAAATATGGATATATATAAATTTAGTAGTATGAAAAAATAAATTTGAAAAAAAAATTCATAGGGTGTCCTGACGCAGCTTTGCATCTGGACTCCAATAAAATCTTGTCACGTGTATCTGACTGGTCTCACATAAAAATAACAAAAAACGCTTTATTTTTCTGTCGACCTGACCCGAAACTGCCTAATGCTTTGAAAAATTAAAAGCACGCGCTGACTCGACTGTCAGAAGCACTATTTCGAAAAGGAAAAAAGATATGTGCTTCTCTTCTTTCTCAAATTTCATTGTTCGTCATCTGCTAGGGTTTCCACTACTGCATTTGTTAGCTAGGGTTCGCATTGCATCTAATTTGAGTCCCTCTTTACTGTCATGTAAGTCTTTTGATCTTAAGGTTTAGTGTGGTAAACACTTTGCATGAGGGGTTAGGGTTTACAGTGCAAACTCATGTTCATTTTCCTTTTAAAGCAAGCTAACAATGGAAGAGAAAAAGGAAATTGAAGAGGCTAAGAAGATGGAGTTGGAAGATCCTAAGATGGAAATCAAAGTATCGGAGAAGATGGTAATGAAAGAGTGGAAGGAAGTCAAAGAGTCTAAGAAGAAGAACACTGAAATGCTAAGAGCCAGCAAAAGTCATCCAGGTAATTTTGTTTGTAGTTGTTCTTGCATTCAATAACACCATGGTTTCAGCAAAATAATATCACACTAATAACACAATAACATCATTATAATACCAAAAATAATACTAAAATAACTCCAAAATAACACCAAAATTAAACATAAATCAAACAACAATAATATCATAGTATCAATTAAATAACACCACACAAACCACCACAATAACACTGAGATACTATCAAAATAACCACCCCAAAACAACACCGAAATAATAATAAAATAACACCAATATCACACAATAATAACACCACATTATTCTTGCATAATTTTGTTGGTATTTTATTAATGTTGTTATAATGATAATTTGTTGTTGTATTCATGTAAGTTTATGAACCCAAGGACCTTCAATTGTAGAAGTCATTCATTAGTAGTAAGAGATGCTCTTGATAAGGTCCGACCTACCATGTATTAGGAGACCTGAAGTAAATTGAAAGCAATGAATTTAGATCATTTTTTTTATCTTCCTTCATATCCTCAAGACAATGCCCTGACACTACACATATTGAAATGTTGAGATTTTGATCGAATGGTATTCAAAATGGGTGGGAAAGACTAAAGATTTGATGTTGATCAGGTTGCTTTGCTGATAGGCATGTCCAACAAAGGCTCAATAGTAAATTGGAATAAAGTTTCCTCTTGTGGTATAGATGTCAGACAAAAAAAGAGTGACCTAGTGAAGATTTCAATCTGGGAGTGTTATGCTCCCTTTGATGAATTATTTCTTTAGTTTTTGTTATCAAACTTATTTTTTCCTTCTACAATTTTAGTGTGCACAAAGAGTTTTACGCATTTGATGATAATGTACAGTCTTTCTCTTCATTTAATTGGTTTGTTGTGGCATATGACTTCGTCAATGAGTAAGTGAATGTTGTCGCTTATAAAATAAGGCGGAATCATCCATTGGGATATATAAATGGTTTTGTTTTTATTCCTAACGGTTAGTGTCTTTTATATAACTTTTAAAAGTTTATTTTCTTATCATAGCAAATTATAATCTATCTTTTACATAGCTCTGATTTTATGAGCATATATCCTTGGTCATTCCTATACCTCCTGAGGTCAGGCCTCGCATGCTTAGGTGACCAACAATTGTGAGCAGAAAGGCAGCACCGATTCATCAAACCTTTAAGAGGCCCAAACCTATACATGTAATTCATTTATCTCATTAGATAACCTTTTTTTTCTTTTTTGGAAAATTATAGCTGTAATGTTTATGTTGTATTTGTTTATTAGAGTTATAATATTTCATGTAATATTCTTGTACATTTAAGTATTTATCTCATCATTCTTTTAAGGTGTTATTGTTGTGTTATTCTGGAGTCATTGTATTATTATGTATATGTTATAATGATATTATTTAGGTGTTATTGTTGTGTTATTTAATTGTTTTTAAGAGATTTATATTTTAGGTTTTATTGAGGTGTTATTTAGGTGTTATTCTGAAGTTATTCTTGTGTATATCATTGTTATTCTGAAATTTATTGTAGATTTTCATTGTAGATTTATTTGGGTGTAACATTATTTTTCTGAAATTCATTCTAGGTTTATGATTTTTTTTATTATTTAAAAGATGAAGAACACCAATTGCTTGCCCCACCAGTTGAAGGACCATCTAGTCCAATCAAGCTCATCCCACACCATGATACATACTCCAATTCACAGTCACCCGATTCATATGAGGTTGATCCCTTATTTCCCAATGAAATCAACCCTCAACCAACGTCTACTTTTTTGGTTGGACACTCTTAACCTATCCTTGCGAGGTTTATCACATGTAGGCTCTCCACGTTTTGTGTTTCCTCTTGTTATTTTTTTTGTATGTCCCTCCTTTCTGGTTCCTCTCTTCTTTGGGTCGTTCACCCGAAAGATGTTTTTTTTGTATGTCCCTCCTTTCCGGTTCCTCTCTTCTTTGGGTCGTTCACCCGAAAGATAGACTTATTCGGGAAAGGGAAGTATACGATGATCGACAAGCTGGTGACTCCTTTTAAATTAAGAGAGAAAAATGAACGAAAACATCACCAACCTAGCGACACCTGACCTTTTTTATATATTCTCTTAGAGTGTTTTACTCTTTTATTAAGCGACTGTATGTCTGAACTGTTTTTATTGTTTATTTCAGTGCATCTGAAATATCATGAAAATTGTAATCTAGGCTCATCAAGAACGTTAAAATTATAATTTTTATATATATATAAAAATATCTGAATGAAAGATTTAAGATAGATCAAAATTTAGGATTAAAAGATTTAGGATTTTTAAAATTTATTTTTCTGCATGGCCTTCGAGCCGATTTTAAAACAGGCTGCATTGCATGGATTTCACCCATACCATATAATAGGGCCTCCAAATTATCTATCACTCTAGATAATTGCATCATTTACATGTCTCGAAGAGAAACCCCTATCCTTCTCCAACTTGACTAGCTCATCATACCTTTTTTATATAGGAGGTTGTCTAGTGTGTTTATAACGTTAGAAGGCTCCCCGACCTATACTGGGTGTAAGTCCTTTTGTTGGGAGCATTTTCATCTTTATGGTTGAACCTTCATTTCTCTGTTTTTTTTTCCGGAGATATCCTTAAAATTTTGACGAGTATCAGTTCCACCTCTTGGAGCTCTAGATTTTAGTCATAGGATAGTGTTTTCTTTCTTTAACCTTAGGGCTACCTAGGTCCTCGTGGACGACGTAATTCATGGATTGTTGACCGAGGATCTCTGATGTGTTGGGTCAATTACCTTTACGACCAGGTAGGCTTAGGGTCCATTTAGCTTCGGATGACAGGTTGGTGGTACCCTGACCTCGCTACCTCTATCTTATATTATTATTCTACCTTTCTGTTGTTGAGCTTTGTCGGCACTATTTTTGGTGTGGGGTTTGCCCGTAAGAAGTTGTCGGTCATCGGAATTGAAATCCCGTTGCCCGCTTCGGAAGGACGTTTTAAAAAATTTAGTTTTGAAAAAGATGAAGTCAAACTGACCCCATAATTTTCATAGTTTAGATGAAAGAGCACTTTATCTCAAATCATGTATCTATCCCGAAGGATGAACACAAGA